GGAACCGATGTTGTGGAAGCCTGTGCCCGCGCGAACATGTGTACGGGACTCCGGGGATTTCCCGGTGTAGGCGGATTTGGCTGCTTGGAAGAGGCGCCTACATCCAATACAGAAATCATGTAGTGGAGTATGAAACTTCCCTGCAGGATTTCGGCACGGAGTATGCGTGTTGTCGGCTAAGTGCAAAGAAATGTTCGGATCATAGAATCTGCCGTTACTGCTGCATGGCTGATTGTCCTCACAGACTACACTGATGCAGCCATTCATTCGCATGTTTGTTGCATTCAAAATGTAAACTTGCTTGGATGCCTTTTGGTTTCACTTTGTGCCAGTAACTTGTCGCTCTCACATTCCGGGTGCACGAGTGCTTTGCTGCTAACAGTAACTATCAGCACCCAGCATGAATCCGGCATGGCAGCGGGATGTTCACCGTCCGCCACGCGCAACGCATGGCATGATGCAGCATGCCCCTTCATATGACCCACTCGGAAATCGTCGTGTTCCTCCACCTCCAGCCAGTTTAATTCAGGATGGCGGGTGTGTAAATCCAGGCAACCCGGGCTACTTCACGCAGCATGGATGTGGTGGTTATGGCATGTCCCAGCCTGGTCCTGCCTGCAATTCGTTTCTTCAGCGTCCTCCTCCTCCTTCTGGGCATCTACGACAGGAAGATGAACTCCCTCCGGGTATGTGGGCCCCAAGTGGATTGAGTCATGATTTTTCACACCATGAAAGGATTGATAGGTCACGCAGTCGTGAACCCGCTCCCCGCACCGATGAAGTGGCTAGATTGTTGGCTCAGCTTGCTCCAGGTGACTTCAAGAAAGTGTTCTACAGTCTTCCACCGGGGTTGCGTGATGTGGCTTACCTTGCCCCCGATGATGTGATTACTGCCATAAAGTCGATCCAGGACAAGGACCAAAGGATGGCGATGTGCTCGCGCATCAACACTCTTCGTCGTGAGCGTTTGCGTCATCTTGCAACTCCGCAGTCGGCTGCCTTCTATGACGAGGATAGTACAAAGATTGTTCCAATGAGTAGGGTGACTGAAAGGCATTTCTGGGATGTGTTTCATCGCCTGCCGTTGTCTACTACAGATAGCACGAAGTGGAAAGCTGTCCTCAAGTATTTGGATGGATGTCCTGAAAAACCTCGCCCAAACCATGGCAGCTCCAGCTCTCGGGACATTGAGTGGGCTAGTGGTGATTTGTGCGCTGGTAGCCCGTCGCATGAGCAGAAACCGGCACCACATGTTGACACCAATAGTCGAGATGCATTGCGTCGTCTAGCGGAAGCTTCGCCTGAACAGATCGTGGAAAAATCAAGTGAGGTTCAGGAGGACTATGTGGACTGGGTGAAAAGGAAGGTTGACGTCGACACTTCGAACATCAACTTCTCGAACTTTGAGTTGGAAACCAGGGTCCATAAGTTCTCGCGCAAGTGTCCCGCGTCGAAAGCTTTGAGTACTTTGACTCCTTTGCAAGCTATGAGTGACCTGTACAACGACATCTACCGCATCTACCTCCGTAAACTTGAGCGCCAAATCTCGAGCCTCACCTCCAGATCAAAAGAGGCTACTGCTTTGAAGAAGTTGTGTGAGGCTCTAAACATTGAGCGGGACGATTCCTTACCTCAGCTACTTGCCCGATTGCGTGCGATTGATATCATGAAGAAGCCTCTGTGAGTCGAGCGTGGAACTGCGGAGTTAGGCATTTCGAGGGCATTGAAAGGGGCTCTGGAAGTGGTTCTGTTGCTAAAGTTTCGTGTTTTGCAAACTGGCAAAGGGAAGTGGAATGACATGTCTGACCTTCTCATGCTTGCCGGCAGTTTGTGGCTTATGTTTCTACAGTCGCATGCCACACGACGCGGTTCGTACCTGTTGAGTCTGATCGGCCGCGCCCCGTGGGAAAGCGGATGGCAGGCTCTGTGGCGCAGCCCATGCTTGTATTGGATTTTCCCGTTCCCTTTGAGAAAGGGGCGGCATGGTACACTTTTGTATGTGGGTCGAACAGAAGATTTTTCACGGCGTTTTCGGAACACATGAGTAGACTCTTAGACTCTGATGGCTACACGCAGCAGCCTTTCTACAGATACGCTCGCATGCGCTGTACCACTAACCATGAGTTGGTTGCAGAGCTATGTTTTTGGATGATGATCCCCGTGAGGCCGGCATCTGTTCATAAGCAGTGCCGTCTTATGGAGGAAAGTCAACTTGTGAAACTGGTGGGTTCACTAAACCCGCCCCTTGTGTACGATTTGTTCCCTTCCGGCCGAAAAAAGGCCGCAAAGGGAGCAAAAATCTTTGATCGCAAACGTCCATTGTGCAGGCTGCGGGGACCCAAAGCTCTCCAGGAAGCATCTTGTTGTCGTACCTCTCGATTTTCGTTGAGGCGAGACTGGCGTGAAGGTTTGATGAAAACAGCTTCTGCGCTGGCCGGGCATAAGCTCGCCGGTGCAGATGCTGCTTCTCTTGCTGCATGGAATTTGGCGCCGGGTGCATTTGCATTCGTTGCTCGCAGAATTGACCAATTTGAGGAGGGTTGGCGAAGAAGGCGGGGTCTCAACCTGTTAAGAAAAATTTCACACCGCCGTCGCGACCTTTGTCCCATGCTGTCTGAAATTCACATTAAAGTGCCTTGGCCCGGATCCGAGCATGTTCGTGATGAGCTGTGCAACTCGGTTCGTAGGCTTCTTGCTTCATGGAGGGGTGATGGGAAATGGATTCCTGTCCTCCGGCATGCCAAGTGTTTTGTGTCGTGGATGCGCAGCCCGACTTTAGCTGATGTTTTGTCCAATGGTGGCATGTTGCGCAAACATTTGAACGATGAGTGTGAACCCTCTTGCAACTGCAAAGCTTTGCTTGCTCGATTTCCTTCGTGGCCTGCTGTAACTTTTGAAGGCGAACTTCATATCGCAGCCCCTCAGGGTTGCGCGATTTGGCCTGAACATTTGCGGTGCCTGATGCGTTGGCCTGCGAACTTGTCGTTGCCACCCCGATGGGAGGATGTAGCATCTGCGGTCAGGGACTCTTTTCGTCGACTTCGAAATCGATGCAAGGTGCCCCCTTCGTGTGCATATGTAGATACGGAAATTCATTCATGCATTTCGTTGATCTGGAATCATGTACAGTCCTCGTCTGCAGGTCCAGTGTCTTGGGCAGTTTTGGATGGCGCGAAGCAATGGATTGCTGAGTGCAACTTTTT